TTTATATTAAATTATAATTATATTATATTTATATTAAATTATAATTATATTATATTTATATTAAATTATATTAAAGTATACAATATGTCCATACATAAATACACAAAAATAAATGATTTATATCATTTAACATAGGTAGCATACTTTCAAATTTGTATTCCATACCTTACTACATTTAACTCTCACGGGATAAGAAATTAAACTTATACAAGTATAACTTTTTATACTGATTATATTAGATCATATATAATATTTAATTTATGGGATGATACACCTATGTTATATCATACAAAAACATTAAAATCTTAAAAACAGATATAATTAAATTTAGGTATTGGTTATATGTTTATTTATATTGGTACAAGCATTTGAAGAATTGTAATTTTTTTAATTTTACCTGATGGTATCAGAGTTAAATCTTTACTGGGGGATGCACCAATAGTTTTAATTGCAGTACAACTCTCAATATCCGAGTTAATTGATTGTAGTTCTATTATAAAAAAAATTATTCATTAACTAATTTCTTGAAAATGAATTGCTTATTAAGATCAAATTTAAAATTACATACCAGCATCATCATTAATTGGTTGTAAAACCAAACATTTATTATTGAATAACACTGGAACTTTGTTTTCTATTTCCTTTCTACCTAAGTCAGGATAGTCTATATAAAATATATTAAAATATTTAATCAATAGTTAAAGAAGCACAACAAAAAATATTTTCAACAAATGTCAAACACTAACAAAATATCATTTTTATTTTTATTTTATTTTATTTTTGTGACCATGTGTAATTACCTACATTTAATACAGACAATACAGTAATAACAAAAATATAAAATGTAATGGCCGAAAGTGGGAAAATAACCACTGAGGAAAACCTTTTATTGGCGAAATTAAGTAATAACACAGAACAGTAGAACAATGAACAATTATAAATCATTAGTTTTAACAATGAATAATGATTAAATATGAATAAATATGATTTCATAAATACCTCAAATACCTGTATCGGCTGTATCAGTAGTTGGTCTTGATTTTTTAAAAAATGACGATACACTTTGAGATGTTAAACTCAATTTAACTTTTTTACAAGACGCCAAGTGCCGCGACCAATTTGTATTATTTATATTAGCACGTCTTTTCCCACACATGCACTTACGATTTTCTTTCTCCATTTTGAACTTTTTTAATGACAAAATTGACAATCAATCACTCCACAAAACACGAGAAAATAAATTAAACATAATTTGGAATTTTGTAAATGAAGCGATCAAGCGACTGACCATTGCTGTTTGCTGGTAGAAGGAAAACATGGGATTACCACTGACAACTATAAACTATTTATAGAATCTAGTGATATTGTACACAATAAACATATGATATTATATGATAATAATGATATAGTATAATGATACCATATTACGTCATGATAAAAGATAATAAATAACGCAGCGTGCAGTGACGTGGAGTGTGGAATAATTATTTCTATGTTTCATGCTATCGTGCATTATTTATGCATAGAAGTATAGAACACCTGATTTAACTTTGTTAGCCTATTAACCGTTACTCCCTAGAACTCACCTATACCTATTACCTACCCACCCACCCACCCACCCACCCATTTAAGAAGTGAAGCGGCCGCTTCACTTGATATATGAGTTCGGCGCCACTGATATTATTATATTATTATTATATTATAGGTACTACACCATAATTACGGATGGTTAAGTACTAGCTATTTATTTATTTAGCTGTTGTAATTTGGTCACGTATTATTTAGCAGGTAGTCTATACTGTTTAATGAATTAATAAGTATAAACAATATTTGAATTCAATAAAAATATTCTATCATAAAATATATTTTTTAAGGGGTTAGAAGAAGATGCTACTGGTGACCAAGAACGAAGTATTAATATTGAAGAAAACATAGATGTGACTTTAATAAACACGGATGATAATATTATAGCACACCAGGAAATGTTGTACATCACCCAGGCACCACCCATTTGGAATTGTTGAAAATTTAATTTACCATTATTTAGTTCGTAATTTGTATGAATTTGTATGATAAGTTTCAAAATTTGTACGGTCTCGGTTTAGCCGTTATTAACAAAAATAATGGGTGGGGCTAGGGTGATGTGATTTCAGCCCCACCTAAGGTTAAAAATTATAAGACAATGGACACAACTATACCATCTTTTAGTACGTAATTTGTACGAATTTGTGCGACTGTTTTTAAAATTTATACGAGCTTCTATCTAATTTGTCTAATTTGTACGAACTTTTTTATTTAACTTGACTTGTTTATTTCATTTAAGATTTTTTCTCATACCTAAGACCACTTTTATTCGGAATTTTTTTTAAATATATTTTTTTTTATTTATTAAATATAAATTTCTTATTTTAACCAGATTTAAAAAAATATAGATTCACTAGATATAATATATAATATAGATTTTTTTATAATTTAAAAAAAAAATACAGATCTAATTGCAAAATGAATAATTGTATTTTATATTTTTCTTTTGAATCTTATATTAAAACAAATAATATTTGAATACAAAAAATGTTTATTTATATAAAAAATCTAGTTTTAATAAAAATATCTAATTAGAATAAAAAGCATAGATGAATAAAAAAATCTTATTTAATATTTTAATTACCTAAAAATTAATTTAACAACATTTAGATTTTTTATTCAAATTAAAATTTTTAATCCAAGTTATTTTATTTAATAATTTATAACTAGTTTAAAAAAATTATGAAATTATACCATTATTAAAATAAAAAATCCAATTTGAATACAAAAATTTAATATTTTATCTAAAAAATATAATCTGGATTTTTATTTTGATTATTGTTTAAATTCATAATTTTTCAATAAGTTTTATTAATTATTAATTAACATTACTTTTCTAATTTAATAAACAAAACAAGTTTAAAAAAATGTTCAATAAATAAAATTTACCTAATTCAAATAAATAATTTAATTCTAATAAAAATATATGTTAAACTAAAAAATCTAAATTTAGTTAAATTAAAATATAGGTAATTAAAATATTCAACTTCGATTTTCTTATTCAACTAGGTTCTTTTTTTATTTTAAATAGTCATTTTATTTTAACAGATATATAGGTATATATATATATATTTTTGTATTTAACTAAGTTTGTTTTAAAAATAGATGTTTAAAAAAAAATCTAGATTATTTTTTTAAAATAGGCATTTTTTTATTAATTATTTTATTAAATCTAAATTTCATGAAAAAAATATTATACATATTTATAAAAATTATAGATAAAAAGGTACAGTCAAAAAAATTAATAAAAATAAAGATGATTCATTAATGACTAAAAATTTCATGTTTGGACAATTTTTTTTAATTATTACAAAATACATCAACGTTAATTCAATTTTAATCATTTTTGAGTCTTTTTCATTTTTTTTACTCATTTTTTTAATTGAATTTTTTAGTTGTACCTATTCATTAATCATTTTTATTTAGATTTTTTTTAATTAAAAAAGATTTTTTTTATCAAATATAGATTTTTTTTATATTTTGATTTTTTACCAAATATAGACTCTTAATTACGACTTTTTATTTATATTTATATTTGTTTTATTTAATCAACATATTTTTTTACTCTGGATAATAAATTAATAATGTGATAAAGGGAATTAACATGGTAAAATAAAAGTTTGTAAATCTAGAAAATAAAGAATGTAGAAATGATATACAATTGATGTGTCACTCACAAAAAAAAAATTGATGTGTGCCTGATAATTGTTTAAGATATTTAAAAACTATAAAAGTTATTAAATAATAAATAAATAAATAAAACAACACTGTATGTATGAAAATAAATTAAATTTAAGAGGACATCACACCCACATGTGTCGTATCTGTCTTACACACCTGCGACATAGCAAATTTTTGTTCGCTAGTTTCGAACCGTTACGGACCCTGTAAGACCGTTTTTCGAGTTTGTTACTAACCTAGTAGTAAACACTCTCGAACCGT